GCGAGTCTACTACTTTTGCAGGCAGGGCATTCCACGCCCTTACTACTGTCTCAGTAAAGAACCTACCTCTGACATCTGTCCTATATCTATCACCCCTCAATTTAAAGCTATGTCCCCTCGTGTTAGCCACCACCATCTGAGGAAAAAGGATCCCACTGTCCACCCTATCTAATCCTCTGATCATCTTGTATGTCTCTATTAAGTCACCTCGTAACCTTCCTCTCTCTAACGAAAACAGCCTCAAGTCCCTCAGCCTTTCCTCATAAGACCTTCCCTCCATACCAGGCAACATCCTGGTAAATCTCCTCTGCACCCTTTCCAATGCTTCCACATCCTTCCTATAATGCGGTGACCAGAACTATACGCAATACTCCAAGTGTGGCCGCACCAGAGTTTTGTACAGCTGCAACCTGACCTCATGGCTCCGAAACTCAATCCCTCTACCAATAAAACCTAATACACCATACGCCTTCTTAACAACCCTATCAACCTGGGTGGCGACTTTCAGTGATCTATGCACATGGACACCGAGATCTCTTTGCTCATCCACACTACCAAGAATCTTACCATTAGCCCAGTACTCTGTATTCCTGTTACTCCTTCCAAAGTGAATCACCTCAAACTTTTCCGCATTAAACTCCATTTTCCATCTCTCAGCCCAGCTTTGCAGCTTATCTATGTCCCTCTGTAACCTGCAACAGCCTTCCGCACAATCCACAACTCCACCGACTTTGGTGTCATCCGCAAATTTACTAACCCATCCTTCTACGCCCTCATCCAGGTCATTTATAAAAATGACAAACAGCAGTGGTCCCAAAACAGATCCTTGAGGTACACCACTAGTAACTGAACTCCAGGATGAACATTTCCCATCAACCACCACCCTCTGTCTTCTTACAGCTAGCCAATTTCTGATCCAAACCGCTAAATCACCCTCAATCCCATGCCTCCATATTTTCTGCCTGCACATGATCCATATCCTTCTACTCCTTGCCTGTGCCTGTTTAAATGCCTGTGAAACACTGCTATTGTATCTGCTTCTACCACCTCCCCTGGCAATAGATTCCAGGGATCAACTACTCTCTGTGTAAAAAACTTGCCTCGCTCATCTCCTTTAAACATTTAACTTCTCACCTTAAACCTATGCCCCCTAGTGTTTGAAATTTCCACCCTGGGAAAAAGACTCCAACTAACCACCATCATCATACCTCTCATGATTTTACATACCTCTATCAAGTTGCCCCTCAGCCTCCAACACTCTAGTGAAAACAATCCAAGTTTGTCCAACCTCTTCTTCTAGCTAATACACTCCAATCCGGGCAACATCCTGGTAAAGCTCTTTTGAACCCTCTCCAAAGGCTCCACATCCTTCCCATAGTGTGAGGACCAGAACAGCACACAATACCCCAAATTGTGATCTAACTAAAGTCTTATACAGCTACAAGACAACTTGCCAACTTTTATACTCAATGTCCTGACTAATGAGAACACAATACCGTAGCCTTCTTTACCACCTTACCTATTAGTGTTGCCACTTTCAGGGAGCAATGGACTTGCATTCCAAGACCCTCTGTATATCAATGCATCTAAGAGTCCTGCCATTTACTGTATACTTTCCTCCCAGTGACACTGAAGGAATGGCAATATATTTCCAAGTCAGGAGGGTGAGTGGCTTGGAGGGGAACTTGCAGTTGGTGGTGTTCCCATGTATCTGCTGCCCTTGTCCTTCAAGAAGATAGAGGTTGCAGGCTTAAAAGGTGCCATCAGAGGAGTTTTGGTGTATTTCTGCAAGACCTCCTGTAGATGGTCGAATCTTGTAGATTACTGCTGCTGAGCATTGGTGGCGGAGGGAGTGGATGTTTAATGTGACAACTGGGGAGACAGTCAAGCAGGGGCTGCTTTGACATGGATGGCATTTAGCTCCTTGAGTTGGACAGATTGGTGAAGAGTGTTCTGTCACACTCCTGACTTGTGCCTTGGAGGAAAAGCCTGTCCCAGATGGAATACTACAGTACAAGAATTTGAATTACCATCACCATCTCGAGGGGCAACAAACAATGGGCAATAATTGTTGGCCTTACCAATGACATGCACAATTCAAACATAGATGTAAAACAGAAATTGGAAGGTACGTTTAGTGAAATACCAACAATCTGCCACTAGATGTCACCAATACTCTAGGAAATATTCCTTATGGGCAGTTTAGCGACAGCACTGCACTCTCACAGTGAGCCCCTCAGAACCCTGCCCCTCACCCAAACAATCAATCTCCACCTAAAAACCTTGGGAGGAACCATCAACAATCCATTCCTCAGGCCTCAATTGGTGTCTTCACCAGAGCACTGTCCAGTGTGGCTCACCAAGAAATCATCCAGATTCAACTTCACTGAAAAGGCTTGAAATATGTTCGATTGTAAATTGGCAAAAAGCATAGACGGCTGTCAGAGATTCAGACAATTATTGGATGTGGACAATCTGAAAAGGTGGACAAAAGACCAGGCTACCTCAAAGCGGTATTTTGTATTGGGCACAATTAATATAATTGGGCCGATTTATCTATACAGTCACCATAGTCCCAGAGGAACCTAGGGCTGCTATCTTATTAGAGAGAGACAGAGTCGACTGGTGGCAATTTAACCTGAGGGTCACCTCGCCTCAGGTGAGGGGAGGAAGTGAGACCTTAATGATGACCACAGCTGGTGCAGGGATTGAACCCATGCTGTTGGTGTCATTGTGCATCACAAACCAGCCAACTGAGTTAACGGTCCCCACTGTTACCTCACATTTAACCCAATTTTAACCAAACACTCTCTATGATTAGCAAAGAATCCCAACATTGAGCACTTTGTTTTTTCAGATGTCAGTCGCGGCTCAGTGATACATTCACTTGCCTCTGATTCAAAAAGATGCCCACTTGAAGTCACACTGCAGACCTGGCACAACACCTAGAGGTACACTCCCAATAGTGGGGTGCTCTGTTGGAGGTGCTGTTTTTTAGATCAATGTTAAACTGAGGCCCTAACTGCTCCCTTGAATGTGATGTGAATGACCCCACATTGATAGAAGAACTGGGGATTTCTGCAAAGTTTATCTCTGTACTGACATCACTAAAATAGATTATCACGTTGCCGTTCATGGGAGCTTGCTGTGCATATCCTGTCACATTGTGATTGGCTGTGCCTGAGGTGGTGAATGTGAAATAGAAAGACAAGTCTTTTTAATTTTTTACCTCCAACAGTAAGACACGAACATAAGGGGCTGTGCAAATGCATCCCATTATCTTCATGTTGGCAAAGTTCATCGGGAGCTGGAGAAACAGTCTGTTTCAAACGTTGAGTTTTTAAGACAATTTGGAACTTAATGAATTTTCTGCAAAGATTTGTGTTAGGGTCTCAATTCTTCAAATACTTATTAACAACTTGGATCATGGGATAGGAAGTCATATATTCAAATTTGCTGATGACACAAAGTTAGGCAGCATTGTTAACAGTGTAGATGATAGCATAAAGTTACAACAGGTTATTGATAGACGACGTGAATTGGCAGAACTGTGGCAGATGGAGTTCAATGTACGCAAGTGTGAGGTTATCCAGCAAAGGAGAGATCTGGTCCTTTCCAGATGGTATTAAGTTAAATACAGAGGATGTCCAAAGAGATCTGGGGGTTCGGGTGCATAGATCTTTAAAATGCCACAAACAGGTGCAGAAAATAATCAAGGCAGCTAATGGAATACAGGCCATTATATCTCTGAGGACTGGAGTACAAAGATGCAGAAGTCATACTGCGGCTTTGCAAAACCCTGGTTAGACTCCACTTGGAGCACATGAACAAATCTGGGCACCACACCTCAGAAAGGATAGACTGGCCTTCGAGGGAATGCAACATAGGTTTACAAGGATAATGCCTGGGCTTTAGGGGTTTAGTTATGAGGAGAGGTTTCACAAATTAGGCCTGTTTTCTCCAGAATTTAGAAAGTGATCAAAGTTTCAAGATATTAACAGGAAAAGACAGGGTAGATTGAGATAAACTATTTCCACTGGTCGGGGATTCTAGAACTAGGGCATAGTCTGAGAATTAGGGCCAGAGCGTTGAGGAGAGATGTTAAGAAGTACTTCCACACACAAAGGGTGGGAGAGGTTTGGAACTCTTCCACAAATGTCAGTACATGCTGGATCAGTTGTTGGTTTTCAATCTGGTAGAGATAAATTTTTGTTTAGCAAAGGTATTAAGGGATGTGGGCCAAAGGCAGTTATAGGTCATAGATCAGCCATGACCTCAACTGAATGGTTGAACAGGCTCGAGGGGCTGAATGGCCTAATCCTGCTTCTATGTACCTCTAATCCACCTTACATTCACCAGAATTTGTCAAGTTTGTGGAGAGTTTACATTTTAAAGATGATTAATATAAAACTAAGGGCAGATAGGAATTGCAAATAAACATTCAGTACTTCAACTTACACTGTTTATTCTGTGTTCCTGCTGGATTTACATTCAGTAACTTGCGCACAACATGTTTATTGAAACAGATCAAACTAAAAGAGCAGTGAGTCAGAAATAAACAACGCTTGGGATGTGTTGTGTTTCACACCGTCCCACACTCTTCAAAGGCTGAGCTTTCTGTCTTGTCTCAGTGCCATGTCTCTGAGCTCTTGGTTAGAAACTCGTAGATTCTCCGTGAGCTCTTCCTCGCGGGTGGAAGAGAAAGATCCCAGGGCACTAATTTCCAGAAGAGCAGGCAAATTTACCTAAAGTGTTGAGCAATATTTTCCCTCAACTGACATCACTAAAGCAGATTAACTGCCCAATGTCTCAATGCTGCTTGTGGCAGCTTGCTGTGCACATTTCTGGCTATGAATCAAAAGTATCTCATTGGTGGTAAAGCACTTTGGAACATTCTGCAGTTGTGAAAGGTGCTGTGTAAATGCAATTTTCTCAAAGTGAGTTTGATCAGCTAAAATACTTACAGGCTGTGCGAAAGGCTTTGGGTCTGAAGGCCTCATGTGTAGGTGAGCCATCATGGCCTGGAGGCGTTCACTCTCCTTGGACAACTGTGGGCAGTAAGAGGAACATCTTCAACCAACATGCACTGAGCAACGAGGGTGAGAGGTAAAGAGGGCTGTCAGAACCTAGCCCCATTCTGATCCTTCACAGAAATGGGAGCTTTTCATTATAGGATGTCAACATCCCTGGCAAAACCAGCATTTACTGCCCATCCCTAATTGCCCTTGAACTGAGAGGCTTGCTACAGTGCAGTCTAGTTCAGACTGGGTAACTGGGGGGAGGGGACAGACTTCCTCCCCTGAAGGGCATTAGTGAACCAGGCAGATGTTTACAATAATCTATGATGCTCACTATCACTGAGAATAGCTTTCAATTCCAGATTAGGTCAATTTATACTCCATTATCCATTTGGCTGGGATTTGACCCCATGCCCTCAGTACATTTACCTGGGGCTGTAGAATATGAGGTCAGTGATATTACCACTCCACCACCGACTCCCATAAAAGAATGCAGCCTTGTGGTTGGACAGGGGTGAGTGCCTTAATGAGGAATCTCTAGTGGCTGTAAATTCAGGAATTATTCAATGTTCTCAGAGCAGCCTCCACTCCAAGCTCACACAGAATCTCCTCTAAATCCTTTCTCCCTCTTGTGTTTATCCCACTTCCCTTTAAACGTACTGATAGATTACTATTTCCTGGGGTAGTAAATTCCACATTCTCCTCATTGTCTGGGTGAAGAGGATTGTCTGGAATTCCTGACTCGATTCAGCAGGGACAGCTTTCAGGGAAATGGCCCTGAGTTCTGAATTCACCCACAAGTGGAAATAACCGGTTGAATTTTAACAACCGAAACGATGATCCAACTCCCGTCCAGTGCAGGCCCAGGTCTGAGTATAGAGTGGCTGTGACAAGGAGCTCCTCCATCTCAGTCCTAGGAGGTTGGATGGCAATATCCACATTCCAATCAGCCCAGCAGTCCCTGAACTACAGATTGTAGGAACATAGGGCCCTGAGAACATGGAACAGAAAGAGGCCACTCAGCCCCATGAGTTTGTCCTGCTGTTCGATATGGTTGGAACTGATCTGTTTGTGGTCTCAACTCTACTTTCCTATCTACCCTTCTGAACCTCGACTCCCTCATCTATCAACATCTGTCTAACACAACCGTGAATATATTCAATGATCTAACTTCCACTTCTCTCTGAGGGAGAGAATGGCACAGACTGGAAGATGAAATCCCTCTTCATTTGAAGGATTTACTTTAGGATCTGACTTCCTGATTGTCTGATGGATTTCTAGTACATTAATGATATTGCACCTAACTAATCCTTTGATTATTTTAAGAAATTTTACATCTTGATACTGCCTACATATATATATATAGCCTAATTTAATAATTCTAATGACCCATCCTTGGAACTCTCCACTTAAAGATTGGGTGAATGTGGAGTTATGACTATATCATCAGCACTATCAGAGATTAATCGTTTTTAGACTTCAGTTTAAGACATCAAAAATCAAGCTGAAGAATAAAGAAAATGCAATGCAACTCATGTGAATGGGCCAGAACATGCCTTATAAAATGAAGGGTCACGAAAGGGCATGTTTCTCTACATCTGAGAAAGCCCAGCAGCTGAAAGGAGGTGAAGGCAGCTTCCTTGAGAAGGGGTAAGTGTTTCTGAAGTATTGCGTGTAGGTTGCAAGCAACAGAATTGTCCCTTCCTTACCTTCCAACATCTCCCCATCCTACTCCATCCTATCTGAACCCAACCTAAAGAGGCCCTCAAAATTAGAAACCCCTCACAGAGTCATGGAGCAAAACATAATTGCTTATTGATCAGTTCCCCTCTGGAATTAGACTCTGTCTGGCATTAGGGAATGGGAACACCGTCTTTGGGGTCAAAGATCAAACTCCCCTCCCCCAATGAATGTGCTTTCACTTGGGATCAGAATCCCTCCCACACCCCACTCCTTGGTTGGTTTTGGCACATGCCCAATCAGATTGAGGAAGGGAACCTGCCGGAAACAGGAAGGTCATGTGGGGAGAGTCCATCTGAAGTCCATCCATCCACCCATGAATGGTTCCTATCCAGACAATTCACTGAACATCAACACTATCAAACAATTTAATCACTTTAAACACCTCGATTGACTTGCTTCTCAGGCTTCTTCTACTTTTGAGAAAAGAATCCAAACCTTGGACCCAATCATTGCTGTTTATCATAGGCTCTCAGTACTGGGATCATTTTTGTAAATCTGTGTTAGCACTCCCCCCAGTTTCTCTGGAAGCCAGACTATGCACTGTAACTCCAAGTGTTAGCATCTGCCTGATGTTCAGGGCTTTGAGCACTGATGTGAAGAAGACAAGAAGCTAAACCCTAAAGACAGTGTATTGTCCAATGAAGAAAGGAACTCAAAGCTGTGGGTGGGTCCAACAGATGCCTCGTTGAAACAAAATCAGAAACGTAGTTACACTCACAAAGACCCATTGAAGAACTGGGACTGTTTGCAATAGAACAGAGGTGGTTAAAGGGAAGACTAATCAATTTCTGGAAATGTTTCAAATTGTTAGAAGGTTTTGAGAGGTTCAAACATGAAAGCTGTTTCCATTGGCTGCCCAATCAATGACAAAGAGAAACAGACTGAGGATTTTCACTCAGAGAATGAGAGGGGAAGTTTAGGATTTACCGAGAGTGTTCCAAATGTGGTTTATTTAACATGAGGAGCTATTGATACAGAAACTGCCATGTTATTTAGATAGAATCAGAATTAATATTGACAACGAATGAAGAAACAAGGATATGGGAAACAGCAGGGAAACAGGATTAGGGAAAAACGGCTCAAGATGACAAGCTATTCCTTACATTGTAGGCTGAGTGATCTTCATTTCTGTAGTTTCCGTGATTTCATGGAATACTCCTATGAAGAAGGAAGGAAAGTTCTAGGTTTGGGATTTGACATTTCCTGCATGGGATGTGAGTGTGGAATGGGAGCAGGAGAGGGAGGAACTATCTCAAGTAATTTCGAAGAGACCAACTCCTGTTGGAGAGAGGCTTTCCTGAAAACTTATACCAACCTGAATTTCTAGTTGTTGTACAACTTGCATCTGAACCCGACACTGGGCTGTGCTGCGATCGTCAAGTGCGTGCTCGTTGCTGAGGTGCCTAACGTGGAAGAAGGATTCACAATTTGAGAATAAAGTACTGAACCAATACATTTCAGCAGATAGATAGCAGCAGGTCAGACAGAGTGCCAACAAAATAAAAACACATGTCTTTACACACTCTCTCTCTCTCTCCCTGCCCTTCCCCCACCCACCCCCACACCCCCACCACCCCCCAACCCCGCTTAATGCTTTTCACTCTCGGTTTTATCTGTTTAGGTGCTAACTCAGCAGATGATCAGGACTATCAGATCCATGATATCATTGTTCTGTGGTTCAAACAACCAGCACAGGCACAAAGGAGCAGATATCCCCTTCTGGGCTTTTGCTACTCCCATGGATTAAAATAAAGGAAAAGCTTATTCTGTGAACAGATCTCAGACAGTCTCAATATTAACATCCAACTTTTCACCTCAGGAACTTGGGTTTCCCTCCAGCGTTGGCTGGTGAAATTCTGCAATGGAAAAGAATCTTCACAATCCAGTTCAATAGGACAGAATGGCCATTTGTGTATAATCACAGAATTGTTGTAGTGTAGAAGGAGGCCGTTCAGCCCATCATATCTACTGCGGCTCTCTAAATGTCCATTATGGCTTAATGTCAATCTCCTGCCTTTTCTCCATAACCTTGCCCACTGTTTCTATACAAACAATCATCCAATGCCCCTCTTGAATGCCTTGATGCCTCCACCACATTCCCAGGCAGTGCATTCCACACCTTAACTACTCACTAAGTGAAAAAGCTTTTTCTCCAATCATATTTGTTTCTTTTATAGATTACCCTGTATCTGTGCCCTCTCTTATCATTTTCAGAGAGATTGGTTTCTCCCTGTCCTCTCTGTGCAGCTCCCTCATGATTTTGAAGACTGCTATCAGATCTCTTCTTGGCCCTCTCCTCTCCATGAAAGGCAATCTCAACTTCTCCAAACTATCCCCATTACTGAAGGGTCTCATCACTGGAACCATCCTAGTAAATTGCTTTTGCTGTCTCTCCAATACATTCACATCGTTACTAGAGTGAGACACCCAGAAAGGAACACAATGCTCCAGCTCAGGTCTAACAATATCTTATAAAAGTTCAGCATCACCTCCTTGCTCTGGAGCTCTGCCCTATTAATAAAGATCAGGGAATTGTTTTAAAAACAGAAAGTGATGGAAAAGCTCAGCAAGTAAGATAGCATTTGGGGAGAGAAGAAGTTGATGTTTTGAGTCCAATGATTCTTATTCAGAATTAATTTATGAAATGGTCTCTCCACCTGGTCCACCTTATCTATTTAGAATTAATAGTCACCTTTAATAATTTGTGCACAGCTAAACACAGGTCCCTCCCCTCCTGCATCATTTATTTTATGGTGTATTTCCATGTATTACTCTGCACTGAACTTCATCTGCCACTGGTATGCCCACTTAACCAACTTGCCAACGTCCTTTTGTAATTTTACACTGTTCTCCTCACAGAGATAATTTTTCCAACATTTATATCAAACACAAACTGAAATTGTCCCCTGCACACAAAGATTTCAACCATTATTACATGTATTAGGAAAGAAAAAGACCTCAATACTAACCCCTAGAGAATTCCTTTCCTCTTGCCTCCCTCCTATAAACCTTCCTCCAAATCAAAAAATATCTATTAATGACTTTACTTTTTATCATTTAGTCAATTTTGTGCCCATGCTGCTACTGTTTAATTTATTGCCTGAACTATAACTTTTCCAAATCTGTTGTGTGGCCCTTTGGAAGTCCATGTACGCTATAACAACCTTCCCCTCTTCATATTTCTCTGCTATTTGAAACAAAAATCAGCTTTTAATTAAACACGACTGTCCCTTGATAATTCTATGCTGGCACTTCATAATTACCTAATATTTCGATGTGACTATTAATTCTAACCGGATTATAACAACAATTCAGAACTAAACACACAAAATGTCATACAGTTCATCTGAGACTTGGTTCTCATCACTACAGATGGGGACACATCTCAATGGTTGGGGATATGATGAATATTTTTAACAAAATGCAGAGAAAGCTTTACTCTGCATCTAATCCCATGCTGCCCCTGTACTGGGAGTATTTGATGGGGGAAAATGTGGAGGAAGCTTTACTCTGTATCTAACCCTGTGTTGTCCCTGTCTGGGAGTATTTAATGGGAAAACTGTAGAAGGAGACTGATCTGATATGGTGACGTGGTGTTAGGGTTAGGGTAGTTGATGACTAACGACAAACCCAAACTCTGAGGAAGGGTCACCAGACCCAAAATGTTAACTCAGATTTTTTCTTCACAGATGCTGCCAGGCCTGCTGAGCTTTTCCAGCAACTTCTGTTTTTGTTCCTAATTTACACCATCTGCATTCTTTCAGTTTTCAAATTATATTCTATTGGAGTTTCAGCTCCTGTTTGTGAGAAAGTCTTTAATGAATTTCTAACCTGGTTGTCTCCACTGATTTAAAAGGCATCGAATTAACTTAAACTTAAATTCTGGATTTCTTTTGCCTGTGAAGAATATTTTAAAAGCAACGTTTTCCCATTGTGCTCAGTGCTGATCATAGCTGAACCTGTTTAAGAGCCTTTGAGCCTAAGCAAGGTCAGTGTGTTGCTTGGTAATGTAGGATTGAAATTTTAATGAAAAGAGATACATGTCGCTGAAATATTTCATCTTACACTCATCAGGATCAATGCAAGAATGTCAATTTTCAAAAACATGGCAACAATTTGTGCTGCAGGAGAAATGGGCACTGATTGGTTGCAAAATCAGCCCTGATTGGGTGATGTGTTGCCTTGGAGACAGCAACAAGGAACTCTCGGCAATTCAAGAATGGGGCCATATCACTGCCTGTAAAAACAGGCCGATTTAGCAAACACTAAGGAGCCACAATTACAAACTTGACCGATGATCGTAATTGGTTTTCGCTGTAGCTGGTAGTGCATTTAGGATTGGTCAGCAAATGTTGTCTGATTGCAGAATCACATCTAACAGTAGGTGTTTGTTTGGATGTTGCAAGCACCGTCTGATTGAGTCCAGTAGAACTCTGTCTATTATGAACAACTGTAGGAATATGCTGTTTGAATCATAGAGATGTACAGCTCAGTTATCTCGCATCAGACTGGCTCTGCAATTCATACATGATAATGCTTCATTGTACGGTAGGAACAAAGGATTTAGAGGCAGGAGTAGGCCATTCAGCCTTTTGAACGTGCTCCATCATTCCATGAGACCATGGATAATCTGACTCTGATCTCAATTCTACTTCATCATATGCCACTACACAGGGGTCACTTGAGTGGCTGTTTGTACAAACAGGATATTGCCACCAGTCCATTCTACCTATGAAGTAGATGAGCAACATCATATGAACTTCAGTTGTATCCTTTGCAATGCCACTGTCCATTCTTAACCTGTCACCAATAGCCAATGAGAATGTCAGAGTAAAGGTAGATGACACCTCCATGTGACAAACTAACACTAAAATATTTGTCAATGTGCACAACTGCAGCTGGAGGTTATATTTACATCATATGGTCAAATTGTGACCACAAACTCGTATAATGTCTTTCAGGGCCATAGAAAATCAGTTGCTTGGTACTCACACTGATTTTTCAGATAAAGGTAAAGTCACCAGAGTCCCTATCTCACAGAGAGACCAACAACTGTTCATATTTTAATCAGGAGGTCATCACATCTCAGGTTCCGGTGGGGGGGGTAAGAAGGAGAATGCTTCATGGTGACCTCAGCCAGTGCAGCAATTGAACCCATGCTGTTGGTGCCACTCCACGGCAGACCAGCCATCCTAGGTAATCCATCCCAGGTCTTATGGATAACAACACAAGTGGAATGAGAGATCATTGACAGTGAGTGGACTGGGACTATGAGGATATATGTTCTTCTCTGATGAATAAGCGTTCATCCACATATTGAGCAGGTTATATGGAACCACAATCTCAAATGGATCTCAGTACCATCTTCAGCAACTTGTATATCTCAAAGGCTATTTCTATACTTTGAGAAACTGGGAAAATTGAACGCAAAGGAATGACTGAAAATACATATGTTTGTTGTTTGGTGATGACTTAATTTAAAATAAGTTATTTTACTTTTGTTAGTGGGGAATGTTGTGTATGGCAGTTCGTTACTGAAGGGGTTAACTGAACATGTATCCTCATAGTCATGATTCATGAAATACCCCAGTCTGCCCATCAGGATACAAAGGATGGTTCCTGAGAGGAGCTAACCAGAGATTATGGGTGTCCTGTCAGTTTACCACAGTGACAGAGAACTCCTGAGTAATTGTTCTTTATGTGAGTAGCATACAGCTTACAGAGTAATGTGCATTTACTCATCAATTGAGCCTGATGTTTCGCAAGAGACCTTCATGCATCTTAGATGTAACTAGCTACTAAGTTATATGTAATAAACCTTTACTGTTTAATCAGGTCAGAGCCTAACTTCTGCCTAAAGCATTGTGTGGACATCTCAGAGAGATCAGTATCTAATCTAACGCCAGTAAGAAAGTTTGGTGTGAGTGAATGTACCCAAATTATTCCAGATGGTTCTAACAGAAATCCACATTTACAATACGTTGGCAGCACTGGAGTAGGATATTCGGATGGAAAAATGTTGTAGAACTCAATTGTTCAATTTCTTGGTGTGTAATTGTGTGTGTGTCTGTTAATTCTCCTCCACACTGTGTGCCTGTTTGTTAAGCATGACTGCAGACCTTTCAGAAAGACTATCAATAAAACTTCTGCGCACATAGAGTTGGCTGCGTTGTCTCTGCATATTTCCAAGACACAGAACACAACACATCACTGTAACAAAAACAGAAATTGTTGGAGAAAGTCAGCATGTCTGGCAGCATCCATGGAGACAAAGTAGAGTTAACATTTTGGGTTCAGTGACCCTTCTCCAGAACATTACTGTAATTTGCTTTTACAATGACTTATTTTTTGAGTCAGTCTCAAGACACCTTTTATGTTGTGGACACATAGATACTAAGCCCAGTGCCTCAGATGGCTCATAGAGGTATTTTATTTTAACTCACTTCTTTTAATGCT